TTCTGGCTTGCTTTTTTTGTGTGTTTTTGCTTTTGTTTCCTGATGAGAAGTACTTATCTTTGTTCTCTAGTACGTACAGATCTTTGTTTCTCCAGCTGTTTTTTAAATCTTTTTTTTTTGAAGTATAGTTGATTTACAATGTTGTTGTAGTTTCTGGTGTACAGCCAAGTGATTCAGTTATACATATATATACACAGTCTTTTTCATATTCTTTTCCACTATGGTTTATTACAGGATACTGAATATAGTTCCCTGTTCTATATGGTAGGTCCTTGTTGTTTATTTATTTTATATACAATAGTTTGTATCTGCTAATCCCAAACTCCTAATTTATCTGTCCCCCACCCCCTTTCCTCTTTGGTAACCAGAATTTTGTTTACTATGTCTGTGAGTCTGTTTCTGTTTCATAAATATGTTCATTTATGTCATAGTTTAGATTCCCCAAATAAGTGATATATCCTCCAGCTGTTTTTTAAGGTTTTCCTTTGTTACTGGTATGTAGCAATTTGAATATGATGTGCCTTTGTGTGGTTTTCTTCATGTCTTTTCTTTGAATTTCACTGAGCTTCTTGGATCTATGGGTTTGTAATTTTCATCAAATTTTGAAAATATTTAGCCATTATTTCTTCAAATATTTTTCTACTCCCTCACCCTCTCTTCTCCTTCTGGGATTCTAATTACACTTAGACTACTAGACTACATCGTCTTGTTCCATAGCTCACTGCTGCTTGGTTCATTCTCCATCTTTTTTCTCCCTGTGTTTCATTTTCGGCAGTTTCTATTTCTATGTCTTTGCATTCACTAATCTTTTCCCTTGCAGTGTCTAATCTGCTCTTAGTCCTATCCCGTATATTTTTCATTTCATATACCGTATTTGTTACCTCCAGGAGTTGGATTTCCAGCTTGCATATCTCCTGAGATAGTTCAAGGGTCACAGGATTAGGTCATACTTTCTCCAAAGGTACCCATGGGCTCTGAAGTCTCAAGAGCCCAGTGTTGCACTGTGTTCAGTTTCACTGAGCTTTTTATCTCCCTGCAGATCTCCATCTGGAGGGGCTCACACACAATCAAAGCAGCAGAGAATCCAAGGCACACAGAATAAGAAAGGATTAGAGGAAATTCCCTGGCTGTCCAGTTAGGACTCGGTGCTTTTACTGCCGTGGGCCTGGGTTTCGATCCCTGGTCGGGGAACTAAGATCCCGCAAGCGGTGCGGCAAGAGGAAGGAAGGAAGGGAGGAAGGAAGGAAGGAAGGAGGGAGGGAGGGAGGGAAGGAAGGAAGGATTAGAGAGGAAATTGTCTCACCATTAAGGGAAGCTGCTCTAGAAGCCTTGAGGATTCTGTGTGACCCAATGTGGAGAAGATGGCCTTTAGTCATTAAAACCATGGAATTGAGGCAAGGGAAAACATGCATTAAAAATAATAATAATGCTAACATTTAATTTATTATTTTTTTTATTAGTATGAGCCAAGGAAAGAAGCTCAAAGACCCAGAAATTACAATGAAGGCATTACGATCTTTCTATCAAGAAGTTTAATGACAGGCAGAAGCCTGGACACGCAACTCCCCCGGACCCCAGCATCTGGGGCTTTAATTTGTTGCAGGAGATTCTCTGTTCTCTCAATGGCTTTCTTTCTTTAGTCACACGGAAGTGTTGCGAGGCAAGGGCTGTGTCATTCTTCTGTGTCGCTAGTGCTAGTGCTTGACACACAGTCGTGGCCTCTCAACCTGAAAGAACTTTTTAGGTCCACGAACCGTCAACGATGCCAATTCAAAGACGCAGGCACAGAGGCGACGAAAGAGCAGAGTAGGGGCGCGGAGGATTCTGGGCGCCGTGGTCCCCGCCGGCTGCGCAGGCGCACTGCCGTCCGCGGCCTCCCGGCCGCCGACGCCATTGCTGGAAGAGTTCCCGCACTGCTCTGCGAGCGCCCTGTCCTCAGGCGGCCGCCAGGTACTCGTCGACCCGGGCGACCGGCCGGGGCCCCGCCGCCCCTCCCTCGGCGCTCGGCGCTCGCCTCCCGGCGGCGTCCGGGGCGGGGCCGCTCCCGGCGGAGCCCCAGACCCCGAGTTGACCCGCCCACCCCAGAGGGGCCTGGGGCCGACCTCCCTCAGAAGGCTGCGGCCTGGCAGCGCTGCGTCGGGGGGCCGGGCAGGGTGGGCGCGCCACTGGACCTTCCCCTCTTCCCGGGGCCGCGCCTGCACTGAGGGAGGAGAAGGGCGGTGCGGGAAGCAGGCGAGCTGCAGGAGGGAGAACTTCCATCCTGGGCTCTGCACCCGAGCGGAGGGACTGGGGTTCGATAGCGGCGCTCTGACCGGTGCCCCGCTCTCCTGCCTTTGGGAAATGGAGGCAGCCTTTCCTGCCGGCTCAGCTTCCAAATATGCAACACAGTTTGGGGAGTTTGGGGTTTTTTTTAGGATTTTGGGCTGAACCGCGCGGTTTGCAGGACCTCAGCTCCCCAACCAGGGAATCCAACCCGGGCCAGGGCAGTGAAAGCTCCCAGTCCGAACCACTGGACCGCCAGGGAATTCCCGCAACACAGTATTAACTCTAGTCGCCGTGCTCTGCATTGTAGTCCCAGGACTGGCTTATTTTATACCTGGAAGTTTGTACCTTTTGACCACCTTCACCCATTTTCCCACCTCCTCCCAGCCACCAGTCTGTCTCTGTGAGTCTCGGATGTTTTGTTTTTAGGTTCCACATATAAGTGAGATTGCACGTTATTTCTGTGACTTGCTTCACCTAGCATAATGCCCTCAAGGTCCACCCATGTTGTCACAAACGGCAGGATTTCCTCCTTTTTTGTGGCTAATATTCCACTGTGGGCACGTGCCGCTTTTTGTTTATGCATTCGTGCATCAGTGGACACTTAGGTGGCTTCCACGTCTTGGCTGTTGTAAATGATGCTGCAGTAACAGGGGGTGCAGATACCTTTGTGAGTTAGTGTTTTCTATTCCTTCGGATAAATGCCCAGAAGTGGAATTGCTGGAAAATATGGTGGTTATATTTTTAATTTTTGGAGTAATCTCCATACTGTTTTCCATAATGACTGCACCAGTTTATATTCCCACCAGTGGTGCAAAGTGTCCCCTTTGCTCCATGTTTTTGCCAACACTTGTTATGTTTTGTCTTTTTGATAATAGCCATACTGACAGGTGTGAGGTGATATCTCATTGTGGTTTTGATTTTCATTTCCCTGATGATTAGTGATGTTGAGCACCTGTTCATGTACCTGTTAGCCATCTGTATGTACTCTTTGGAAAAATATCTATTCATCCCTGCCCATTTTTTACATCAGATTGTTTGCTTTTTTGCTGTTGAGTTGTATGAGTTCTTTTTATGTTTTGGGTATTAACCCCTTATCAGATATATGAGTTGCAAATATTTTCTCCTGTTCCATAGGTTGTCTTTTCATTTTCTGGACTTCCCTTTGCTGTGCAGAAGCTTTAGTTTGATGTAGTCCCACTTGTTTATTTTTGCTTCTGGTGCCTGAGAAGTCATCACCAAGATGGATATCAGGGAGTTTACTGCCTATGTTTTCTTCTAGGAGTTTTATGGTTTCAGACCTTATATTCAATTACTTAATCCATTTGGAGTTAATCTTCGTGTATGGTGTAAGTCAGGGGTCCAGTTTCATTCTTTTGCAGGTTGCTGTCCAGTTTCCCCAACACCATTTATTGAAGAGACAGTTCTTTCCCCATTGTATTCTTGGCTCCTTTGTTGTAAATTAATTGTAAATTTATGTGTGGGTTTATTTCTGTACTCTATTCTGTTCTATTGATCTGTGTCTTCTTTTTCCAATACCATACTGTTTTGATTACTCTAGCTTTGTAATATAGTTCGAAATCAGGAAGCATGATGCCTCCAGCCTTGTTCTTATTTCTCAGGATTACTTTGACAATTTGGGGTCTTTTGTGGTTCTATACAAATTTTAGAATTACTTGTTCTACTTCTGTGAAAAATGCCTTGCAAATTTTGATCATACTGGATCAAATTTGTAGATTGCTTTGAGTAGTATGGACATTTTAACAACATTAGTTCTTCGAATCTATGAGCATGGAATATCTTTCCACTTAATGTCTTTAAGTTTTCAATGTATACCAGCCAGTCACTTCCGTGGTTAAATTTATTCCTAGGTATTTTATTCTTTTTTTAAGCATTTGTAAATGAGATTGATTTCTTAATTTCTCTCTGTGATAGTTCATTATTAGTGTATAGAAGCACAGCAGATTTTGTATATTGATTTTATATCCTCCAACTTTACTGCGTTTATTCACTAATTCCTACAGTTTTTGGCAGGATCTGTTAGGGGGTCCTATATATAAAATCATGTCATCTGCAAATAGTGACAATTTTAATTCTTCCTTTCTGATTTGGTTGTATTTTATTTCTTTTTCTTGCCTAATTGCTCTGTCTAGAACTTCCAATAATATGTGGGCTTCCCATAACATATATTATGTTGAGGTACATATCCTCTGTACCCACTTTGTTGAGAGTTTTTATCATAAATGATGTTGAATTTTGTCAAATGCTTTTTCTACCCCTGTTGAGAGGATCATATTATTCTTATCCTGCATGGTGTTAATGTGGTGTGTCACATTTGTTGATTTGCAGATGTTGAACCATCCTTGCATCCCTGAAATAGATCCCACTTGATCATGGTACATGATCCTTTTAATGCATTGTTGAATTCAGTTTGCTAATATTTTTTGAGGATTTTTGTGTCAGTGTTTATCAAGGATATTGGCCTATAATTTTCTTTTCTTGTAGTACCCTTGCTTGGTTTTGGTATCAGGGTAATGCTGGCTTCATAAAATGAGTTTGGAAGTGTTCTCTTCTATTTTTTGGAAGAGTTTGAGCAGGATTGGTATTTTTTTAAACGTTTGGTAGAATTCACCAGTGAAGCCATATGGTCCTGGACTTTTGTTCATTGGGAGAGTTTTGATTACTGATTCAGTCTCCTTACTAGTAATCAGTCTGTTAGGTTTTCTATTTCTTCATGATTCAGGCTTGATAGGTTGTCTGTTTCTAGGAATTTATCCATTTCTTCTAGGTTGTCCAATTTATTGGAATAATCTATTTTAGATCAGTGTGTCTTAAACTTCAATGTGTGCATATGAATCACCTAGAGATCTTAACAAAAGGCTGATTCTGATTCGGTAGTTTCTGGAGTTGGGCCTAAGGTCTTGCATGTGTCACAAGCTCTCTGGTGGTGTTGATGCCGCTGGTCTTTATACTTTTGAACACAAAGCTCTTGGATGTGGATTCTTTTTTTCTTTTTTTCCCACTGGGCCGGATGTGGATTCTTAATGAAGGCAAATTGTACATATAAGGCAGGGACAGATTCAGCATAATTCGGCCTAGATTCCTTTGGGCCCCAAAAGCTCTACTGGGTAGTGAGAATGTCAAACTGTCTGAGAAACTCTTATTAAAGAGTAGAATTTCACAAGATTTGGAAAGCTCATTTCTCACTGTGCCACTGCCCTTTTATATGCCTTGCAGCATCATTCTGCAACCATGCACTTGTTAAGAGAATGTTTACTAACCTCAGGCTCTTGTTTTCAAACCAAACTCAGCATCAGCAAGGCCATATCTTTAACCAAAGACAGAAGGCAGAATCAATGCCTGGGGTATCTGAACAAGATCTCTGCCACCCTGTTTCTCCACAGTGTAAAGCCTTTATTAGGCATATAACTATTTTCAGTATAAAAGAACTACTGCTCAGTGCTTGTGCATTGGATTCCACTTTCTCTTATATCATTATTGTTATCCCTACTTCCTTTCTATTTGGGTTTGCCTGATATAGAAAGGATAGATAAAGAGCTATTTGAATATGAGATTGAGAGAGGCATGTACAAGACTTCTAATATCTTTTAAGTTTGGAGTTGTGGTGTTCTCTTTACATGGAGCAGAGGCCTGTGGAAGTTTTAGTGAGTTCACTCTTCCAAGGAAGGACGGGAAGAAAGAGATTACTGGATTATTCCACTGTTAGAGGAGGCAGTGATTGTGGCAAGGGAAGATGGAATTGTTTTTCCCAGCAAGTTGAAGTAGTGGGGCAGGCGTGGCCTGGAACTAGACTGATCTGGGACCCTACACAGCTTGGGTAAAATATCAGTAGTCTAGTTTTCCTAAGCCTCAGCTTCCTCACCGGTGGAATGGGAATTAGTTTCCATTGGGTGACATGACGGTCAAGTGAGAAAGTAGTTTCAAAGTTCCTTGTAAAATGTCTGATCTGCCAACTGTAACTACATTTCGTGGTATTAAAATCTCAAGCTCTACACTGGTAAGAATCATATTTCCTCGCTGATCGCACAGGTTAATCTTGTGTTCTTTAGCAAGGTCATACTTATTTGTAATGTCAACGTTTCAACTTGGTAAGTCTGAGATTTCCAAGGCAGGATTGCTTTTCATGGCTTATTTCTCTTTCTTAGATATGTCTTTGCAAGACTCCACTCTTTCCAGAGAGGGGAGCCCAGAGGAAGAGATTATGGCTGCTGTGGTTTTTTCAGTTGGACCTCTGGTAAGTTGGGGTTTCCTCTGCTTCTGACCTGTTGTCCTGCTTTGAGAGCACGACTACTTTTCCTGAAGTCGTGTGACTTGACCTCACCCACACTCCCTTTGGTAACTGAATCAAGTTGTTTGATCCATGAAAATTTGGTTCATCATAGTAAAGCTTGTAATCTATAGGAAGATTCACTGTGCATATTGAAACAAGTATCAAGACACGTAATCTTGCAGAAAAAATCTGTGCTATCTTTAGATATGATAGGCAGTCTGGAAAATTTACTTATGACATTAACTTTGTATTGTTCCCAGGAAATTTCAGTTATTTATGGGGTAGTAGAATGGAATATTTTCCAATTGGAAAATTTTGTTTAGGAAATTTTGAACAAAATACATGTGCATACATACACACACCCTTAATTCATAGGGACCATTCCCCTTGTGTCCACTCTTAGTGTTCTCCTCTTTTCTACCCATTAAGAAGTGATCAAGCTTAATAGATGACATGGAGAGAAAGAAGATGTTTAAGACACAGTGCTTGGCTGTAGGGTGCTTACAGTCTCAATGAGGTAAGGCATACAAAAGAAATAGTTACATAATTTATTTAGGTGAATGATAGTTACTGAGCAATATGATAAAGCTGATGAATGCTTTTGTAAGGAAAGAAATGGGATATTAGTATGGGCTGAATCGGTTATGGAAAGCTCATGAGGATGGTTAGATTTAAGCTGGTACCCAATTACAAGTGGGATTTAAATTGTTGTAAATTATTTGTGAGGGTACTTCAGGTGAGAAGGCAAGGCTCTGAGGCAGAGAACAGTGAGTGAGCCAGTGATTCAAGATGGAAATTTGTGAAAGAAAGGACTGGAATTTAGATAATTAAGCTGAATCTATTCATGTTTCCCTGAAGACATTTAAGTGTATATATGTATGTGTGTGTGGATGTGTTTGAGGTGGGTATTAATGTGATTAAAGCTGTGTTTTAGAAGTGACTTTTTGAAATAGGAGATTCAGAAGAAAGGTAGTACCAACAAATATAATTTGTTACAGAAATTATCCATAATAACTTGTAGTAGTGATCTTTTATTTTTTGTAGCAAGAATATAAAACATGTAAATAGTTCTTAAGACATACCCTTGAAAAGATAAATGAAAGCCAAAATGTTTCACTTTATCAGTAGATCTAAAGTATTTGTCTAGTATAGGCCAGATCAAACACATCTCTAATTATCAGAGGTTGAGGTTCACATCATCCTTAATTTTTTGAAAGCTGAATATTTGTACTTTTTAAAAAAATTAACATATTTATTTTTGGCTGCATCGGGTCTTCGTTGCTGTGCACAAGCTTTCTGTAGTAGCAGCGAGTGGGGGCTACTCTTCGTTGTGGTGCGCGGGCTTCTCATTGCAGTGGCTTCTCTTGCGGAGCACCGGCTCTAAGCCCGCAGGCTTCAGTAGTTGTGGCTTGCGGGCTCTAGAGCGAAGGCTCAGTAGTTGTGGCGCACCGGCTTAGTTGCTCCGCGGCATGTGGGATCTTCCCGGACCAGGGCTCGAACCCGTGTTCCCTGCATTGGCAGGTGGATTCTTTTTTTTTTTTTTTTTTTTTTTTTTGCGGTATGCGGGCCTCTCACTGTTGTGGCCTCTCCCGTTGCGGAGCACAGGCTCCGGACGCGCAGGCTCAGCAGCCATGGCTCACGGGTCTAGCCGCTCCGCAGCATGTGGGATCTTCCCGGACCGGGGCATGAACCCGTGTCCCCTGCATCAGCAGGCGGACTCTCAACCACTGCACCACCAGGGAAGTCCCCTGAATATTTGTACTTTTTAAGGTAAGAACTTGAAAGGGAAGAACTAAGATAACATTTTTCTCAATGGAATTTAATAGTTCTGTTACCCATAACTTTTAAAAATCTAAAATCAGTAAGTACTACTAGAAGGTATAGTAAAATTTCATTTCATTTATGAAATCAGGTCTTTATAGGCATATAGTGTCTAATATTTGGAAGAAAGCAATGTTGTGAGAGGTCCCTGAAATATTCTCTGAAAGAGTATTGAAACAGGCCCCCCCCAACCCCCAGACATGATCTTTCAGTTGTAGAAAACAGATGGTGTTAGTAGGTTTTGAATGTTATTCTTGAGCAAGATAGATTATTTCTGAGAAACAGATTTCATCCTCATAGGAAAAAGTATTATGTAGCATCTAAGACCCCTTATTATAAGTTTATTTTTGTTTTGATAGGTTATTTGTTAAAAGTCCCCTTTAAAAATTATGCAGTTGTATCTTTCTCAGTCTTGTGTGTGTCATTGTCTCAAATGAGGTGAAAGAAGATTATGTTTGGATGTTGCTATGGGACCTTAATTTCATCCCTGAATAATACAGTAAAGAGGTGATCTCATATACACCGCATCCACAGTGGACTGGTGGTGCTTGCTGAGACTCTGTTGTAGGTAATAGGCAGCCTGTCACTGAGTGATCTTATCCTGTATCCCCTTAGAGTCCTGAAGTTCCCCAGCCAAATGAAGATCTTCACCTTCAGGCAGAAGAACAAGAATTGGTAAAGGTAATACTTGGCATTGTATCTAAGGGGAATGAAGAGACGGCATCTCTTTTACTGCACTAATTCTTAATGTTCCAGCACATTGCAAGTTCACCATAAGAACCATCTGGCTCGTTAGGTGTGGTAACCCCAGGGCTGGTAGCGTCATTTTGACAGATTTTATTTCTCTCAGTGGTAGCAGCCCTAATTTGACAGATGGTCACATTATAATTCCTAATGATAAAGTATCCTGTATCACATACTTCAATTCTTGCTTGCAGAGCCTCAAGGTAGCCAGAGGTGAGAGCTGAGGGCCTTCTTAGATTTTTCCTGGGGCTTAGCTCCAGATGGGAAAAGAAAACAAACGCAGTAAGTTCATTATAATTTGAGTTATGTGTGAAGTGATTAACAATATTAACAGTTTATGAACTGTCATTATCTCTCACATTAGCCATGTTTTATTGTTAGTAGAATTATATAAAACATGCTTCACAAACTTTGAGGTCCTAATAAATAAAAAGATTTAAACAATTTGATAAGCAGACATATCTGTATGGCAGAAAAACACTCCAGAGGAAATCTGTTTCTTCCGATACAGAGCATACCTTAGCCAAATACAGTCTAACTTGAGACCTTTGCCTGATTAGTCAGCTAAGTAGGGTTCTTAATTTACCAGATCATAGAGTATAGTGCTTATGAGTTTGAATTTTGGAACCAAACTGCCTGGATTTGAATTGAGACTTTGTGTCTTCTGTGAACTTAGGCAAGGCACCTAACCTCTCGATGCCTCACTTTCCTTATCTGTAAATAGCAGCTTCCTTATTGTGAGGATTCAGTCATTACATTAAAAGCCTTCGTATCAGTACCTGACAAATAATATGAACCATACTTACACAAAAGTAGAGAGAGTAGTTTGATGAATCCCATTGAACCTTCAACACTTAACACCCATGGCAATCATATTTCATCTGTAATACTACCCTCCCTCACTGGTTTTATTGAAGCAAATCCAAGACATTATATAATCTCATATATCTATAACAGATTTTTTTAGTTTTAAGTATAATACCATAATTACAGCTAAAAATGAACAGTAAGCCTTAATATTATCACATATTAATTTGGTTGTTTCCCCAGTTGAGTCATATTAGCTGATATTGTCTCTTAGGTCACTTTTAATCTAGAGGTTTCCCCCTCCCTCTTTTTTTCCCTTTGTAATCATTTATTGAAGAAACCAAGTCATTTGTATTTTAGAGCTGTGATGTCCAATACAGGAGCCACTAGCCACATGTGGCTGTTGAGTACCTGAAATGTGACTAGTTCAAGTTGAGATGTACTGTTAACTTAAAATACATACCATATTTCGAAGACTTAATACAAAAAATAATGTAAATTATCTCAGTAATAATTTTTGCATTGATTGCATGTTGAAATTATATTTTGTACATATTAGACTAACTAAAATATATTATTAAAACTAATTTCACATGTTTGTTTTTATTTTTAATGTGACTACTAGAAAATTTAAAATTCCATTTGTGACTTGCATTATATTTGTTGGACAGCATTGATTTAGAATTTGTCACAATATGGATTTTATTTATTGCATCCCCATGGGTTTTTTTTAACATGCACTTCTGTCTCCTGTATTTCCTTTATATTGTTAGTTAAATCTAGAGGCTTGATCAGATTCAGATTTTGATTTTTTAAAATTTTTTGGCATTGGTATTTCGTATTTCTGGTATCTACTACCAGAAGCTACATAATGCCTAGTTGAAACCTCTTTGGTGTGTTAGCAGCCACTGATAATCGTTTAATTCATTAGAGGTATCAAAATGGTGATATTCTAATTTTTTCATTCCATGTTCACATATTAGCTGGAGTACTTCCATAAAGAGAAACCTCCCCTCATAGACCATCTGATTACATTTTATTACTGTGCAAACTATATGTATTTTGCATAGGAAAAGAAGGGCAAAGGGTTAATTCTTTCTCTTTATTTACCAGTTTCCAGGCATTCTCCAAAGATGATCAATGAGTATCCTTAGAGTTTTATAGTGAAATCATAATTTTAAATGTATTAGATATTTTTGAAGCCCACTACAGTTATTGTTCTTATGGATGTTCAAATTGTCCCATCTTTGGCCAGTGAGAGCCTCTTGAAGTTGTCTCACAAGTCTCAGACATGATCCTAGTACTAGTCTTTGATAGTTTTCTTGCTTTTTTAAATTTTTTTTATTTTTTGCGGTATGCGGGCCTCTCACTGCTGTGGCCTCTCCCATTGCGGAGCACAGGCTCCGGACGCGCAGGCTCAGCGGCCATGGCTCACTGGCCCAGCCGCTCCATGGCATGTGGGATCTTCCCGGACCGGGGCACAAACCCGTGTCCCCTGCATCGGCAGGCAGACTCTCAACCACTGCGCCACCAGGGAAGCCCCCTTGCTTTTTATTTTGACAGAAAGTCCCAAGCCCTGGTTTCTTGTAGCAGAAAGTAATCTGTAGGGGCCACAGTTTAGACTGCATAATGGTACCTTTTTGGTTATTGTTTCTAAACCTATTGAGTGGCCAGAGATAGGAAGTATGTGGCCTGTTTTCCTTAAAATACTTCATGAGTTTATACCGATATTTTCCATGCAATATTGGATTGTACATAATCTCATTGTACATAATCTCATTGATATTACATTTATATCTTCTTTCTCCCATGTCAAATTTATTAGTTCTCAATGATATCAATACTGATTTGCTTTATCCAACACTACACATGCAACAGTTACAAAATAACATTTCCATCACTGCCACCAACAATAATGATTAGTTACTGAAAATGTGTTGTTTAGTTTTTTACAGTTCTTTTTCTCCTCAGGATATATCTCACAAGAGATATACAGAAAAATTACTATGTTTTAAAGATACTCAAAATAGTTCCTCTCTGATGAATGTGTATGCTACCAGCTGGTTTCATTTTACTTTTAATATTTAGAAATTGCTTTTTTATTTAGTTTTTCTTTTATAGTAATATATTTACATGGTTCAAAATTCAAATCTAAAAAACAATAAATATTCAAGGGAATCTAGCTTCTATTCCAGTCCTCTTCACTCTGTTTCCCCCTTCCTCCAATAGATAACCAACCATTAAAACAATTTTATGGCTCATCCTTTGATTTTTTTTACAAGCATATATACATATATTTTATATCCTGACCAGAGAAGCTCCCCAAAGTCCCACAATTTCTTATTTTTCTTTCTCAGATAGATAGCTTATAATATTCTATATCTACAATCTTAATGATAAACTGTGTCTTTTATTAAGCCATATTTTATAGATTAGAACTGAAAAAGAGTTGATATTATACATAAGGCAGGATTTTGAGGGAGGAAAGATGATTTGGCTGGAAACTACTAGTTTTCTAGTTTTCTTCCCCAGTTTTGTATGTATTAATCTGCCTAATAGGTCTAACTGTACGGTCCCTGAGTGATCTCTGTATTTATTTTAGGAATCAGTGACTTTTAAAGATGTGGCTATAGACTTCACATTGGAAGAGTGGAGGTTGATGGACCCTACACAGAGGAAACTGCACAAGGATGTGATGCTAGAGAATTATAGGAATCTTGTCTCCGTGGGTAAGGGTAACCTCCAGGTTTATGTATCTGCCCACTGGGCCAGGTTTACTGAAGATACAGACCCTCTAAAGTACTTAACTGAATTTTGGGTTAGAATTTAAGCGTTAAAATCTCATAATCTTAAGGGCATATTGTTGGGAATTATGCTGTCTCTTGCTCTTAACTCAGTGGTTCGCCCATTGTAGAGTAAGAAATACATATTTCTTTGGAATCTTGGAGATTATTGACAGTCCCTCCTATTTAAGACTGCTTTTTCTAGTCACTTCCATAAGACTTATCAGTGTCTCTAGAAAGAAAGGAACAAATATGTCTATTTTCTTTCTAAACTGAGGTTATCCCCAAACCTGGTATCATGTTGAGCTCCTTTGAGGTACCTTTGTAATTCTCTACAACACTGCTGTACAGTAGAGTGTTCTCCTGTGATGGGAATGTTTTGTATTTGTGCTTTCCAGTGTAGCAGGCTCTACACTGTGGCTGTTGAGAATTTGAAATCTGGCTAGTCCAACTGAAGAACTGAATTTTAAATTTTATACAATTTTAACTAACTTAAATTCAGAATTAAATATCCGTAGGTGGCTATTGTCAGCTGCATTGGACAGTGCACCCCTAAAACTTCTTGTAGTAACCACTCTGCACAGAAGATCAGGAGCTGAGACTGAATTTGGCCCTAGTTCTTGCTCACAGGCACAATCAAATCCTATTCATTTTTCTCTGAACAGGGCTTGCAGTTTCCAAACCAGACATGATATCTCATTTGGAGGATGGAAAAGGACCATGGGTGGTAGTGAGAGAAACTTCAAAAACCCGCTATTCAGGTGAGTTAATAAGAACCAGGAGGATGGGATTTCTTTGAAGTCAGTAGGTCATGGATGGAGCAGAACATCTGAAATATTTTGGGAGTTATCTTTGCTCAAAGCTATCTCAAAGGAAAGGATTCTCCCCCTCTCTTTCTCTCTCCCTACACCTCCCTTCCTCCCTCCCTCCTGCCTTCCCTCCCTCTCTCCCTCTGTTAACCTCTCCTTTTCCCTCTCTGCCCTCTACTTCTAGTTCCCATCACATCCTACTTTACTTTCTTGGGAACATGATTTTCATAATTGTTCCTTCCTTCAAACATGCATAAAATATCCCTTTCAGTCTGTCTTCTCCATTTAACCTTACACTTTTCTCATTTGTTTAACCATTATTTGATATCTCTTCCTTCATTAACTTTCCTGAAAGTGCTTTCTTAAGGATCACCACTGATTTCTTTTAAGCTAAACCCATTGACTAATTATTTAACTTTCTTCACTTGCATGCCTGCTGAAACTTCAGAGGAACCCTCCTACTGTCCTCCAGAATCTTAACTAATTGAGACTACAAACAGTAAATCAGTTGAGAATCAAAATATAGTATTTATCTATTTAACCAATATCTATTAATATTAAACAATCAATATTTAATACTTATCTGTATACTGTGAACTGAGTTAAGTACTATGTCTACAGCAGTAAGATGGACCAGATCCCTTCTCTCATGAAGATTAAATTTTGAGAAATAGATAATTGACAAGTAAATAAACAAAAGCACGCTAAATAATGGTCATAATAACTTAGCCATGAGGATACGAAAGAGTAACTTGGATGGGGATGAGGGTGCCTCCTTCAGATAGTGTGGTCGGGGAAGGCTTCTGAGGAGGTGACACTTGAAGAGTCAGAAGAAGCCAGCCAAGGCAAGAGGAGAAGAAGAGCATTCCAGGCAGCAGAACGTAATGTACTGAGTTCTAGAAATCTGAGGAAGCTGCCTGACTGAAGCATAAGGAGAGGGAGACTGGTACAGAATAAGATAGACAGGAGACTGCCTATTCAGGACTCTGTGGACCATGGTAAGGAGAGTGGATTTTAATCAAAGTGAGTGTGAAAGCACTGAAAGGTTTTAATCAAGGATCTTTGGGAAATAACCCTGTTCATGGAAATTGAACTTAAGGGCATAAAGCAGGTAATAGTAAAGGGGTAGTTAAAATAGCCTAGGCAGGGATGTCCCTGGAGGCGCAGTGGTTAAGAGTCCACCTGCCAATACAGGGGACACGGGTTCAAGCCCTGGTCCAGGAAGATCCCACATGCCGCGGAGCAACTAAGCCTGTGAGCCACAACTACTGAGCCATGTGCCACAACTACTGAAGCCTGCATGCCTAGAGCCTGTGCTCCGCAACAAGAGAAGCCACCACAATGAGAAGCCCGCACACCGCAACGAAGAGTGGCCCCCACTCGCTGCAACTAGAGAAAGCCCGCGCCACAACAAAGACCCAACACAGCCAAAAAACATTTTTTTAATTAAAAAAATAGTCTAGGCAAGAGACTACAGTAACTTTGATTAGAGTGATGGTGGAGATGGAAAGGAATAATGGATTCTAGATCATTTGCATATTTATTTTATTGTGATGCCATCCATAACTTGCACATGTGTTACATATATTATTTTTATATCTCAGATATTATATATGTATTTTTAGAGAGTGAGTGAAAGGTAGACATTGGAGATAGTTTCGATGGCTCTCTAGAGAAAGCCCCCCTCCATATGAAGAGGGAAGGAGAAATGGGGCAGTGGCTGGAAGAAAGAAGAAATAAAAAAAGAAAACTTTTATTTTTGAGATGGAAGCTTTTCTGACGTACTTACGTGCTGGTAGAAATGATGTTCCAGTGGAGAGGGAGAAATTGATGTTGCAAGACAAAGGTAGGGTCACTGGAGAACTAAAGTGTCTGAGAAAGTGAAAAGGGATAAAATCACGAATGGAAAAGGAGAGATTTACCCTTGATAGGCAGGGAGGCCACCTCTTCTGCAGTAACACTAGGCAGGATGGAGAAGATGGGAGCAGATATAGGTCAACTGGTGGTGAGAAGATTGAGACATCCTATGATGATAGCTTCTTTATTCTCAATAAAATACAAAGCAAGGCCATCAGCTTACAGTGAGGACAAGAAGGAGTTGTGAGGGACTTCCCTGGTGGCACAGTGGATAAGACACTATGTTCCCAATGCAGGGGGCCCGGGTTCGATCCCTGGTCAGGGAACTAGAGCCCACATGCATGCCGCAACTAAGACCCAGTGCAACCAAATAAATAAATAAATATTTAAAAAAGAAAAAGAAAAAAGAAAAGAGTTGTGAGAGAGAGGAAGTTAGAAATTTCACGGAATTCACCGGGGAAACCATGTTGGCCTAAAGCTTTTATTGAGGAAGGTGTTTAATTACAGCTTCTATTACTTTTGTAGTTGTAGGACTATTCATATTTCCTATTTCTTTTTGTTTCAGTTTAATAAGTTGTGTTTGTCTAAGAATTGATCTACTTAATATAAAATTTAAATTTAGGGGCATACTATCCTCTGTTTATCTTTTAAATGACTATATGGATCTGAAGGGATGTCTCCTTTTTCATTCCTGATACTAAATTTTTTGTCTTCTCTCTTTTATCTTAATCAGTCTTGCTAGGATTTATCAATCTTATTTGGCTTTTAAAAAATAATTTTTAATCCTTGCTACTGTGTCTTTGATTTCTGTTTCATTACTTTCTTCTCTTTCATTATTTTTACCTTCTTAGGGTTTAATTTGCTGATCTTTTCTAACTTCTTGAGTTGGATACTTATTGATTTTAGCCATTCTTTTTTGCTAATGTATTTAAGGCTATCAAGACTGTCATACTTTTTTTTTTTTTTTTTTTTTTGCGGTATGCAGGCCTCTCACAGTTGTGGCCTCTCCCATTGCGGAGCACAGCCTCTGGACATGCAGGCTCGGCGGCCCTGGCTCACAGGCCTAGCCGCTCCACAGCATGTGGGATCCTCCCGGACTGGGGCACGAACCCGTGTCCCCTGCATCGGCAGGAGGACTCTCAACCACTGCGCCACCAGGGAAGCCCTGCCATACTTTTTTTATGTAACACCTTCAGAATTATTGAGTTCAAAGTATTTGCTCATTTCCATTGTGATGTCTTTGGCCCTCAGGTTATTTGGAGGTATTTTCCTTAATTTTGTACCATATGGGGATTTTCTAATAACCTTGTTGTTTTAAGTTCTACTGTGGTCAGAAAACATTGTATGATTTCACTCTTTGCAGGTTTCTTGAAATTTGCTTTGCCACCTGGCCAATTTTTGTAAATATTCTGTGTGCACTTGGAAAAATATGTGGTATATAGGTACTGAGTGCTGTTCTAGATATGTCAGGTTTGTTAATTATGTTGCTGAAGTCTATCTTCTTGCTGATTGTCAGCTTATTCTATCAGTTACTGAGAAATATTTTTTTAAGTGTCCCACTGTGAGTACAGATCTGTCTGTGTCTTAGTTTTTTAATTTTTGCTTTATGTATTTTGAAGTTGTGTTCTTAGGTAAAAACAAAGTTAGAATTGTTATATCTTTCTGGTAAATTGGATATTTTATCATTATGAAGTGTCTTCTTTATCTTTGTTAATTGTTTTTACCTTAAAGTCTATTTTGCCTGATACTAATATTACTATAGCATCATTCTTTTTATTGTATATGTGGTATATCTTTTTTTATCTGCTTACTGTCATCTTTTATGTATCTTTGCATTTTATTTCTCTTATAATTGCATTTTGTTAATTTTTAACTAATCCGACAATCTGTTTCTTCTGGAGTTTTTAATCCATTTTGTACATAATACAATTATATAATGTTTAAATCTACCCTCTAACTGTGAGAGTATCTTGCCTTTTCTATATTCATTTTCTTCCCATTCATGCCTTCCTTTTGATTTATCATCTTTTATTTTTCTATTCCCCTTGTAATCAGTTGGTAATTATAAATTTTTAAGTTATTTGTTTAGTGGTTACAGATTTTCCCAAACAGTACAAGAATCTTGAACAGCTTATTCAGTTTAACCTCAATTATACATTATTGAAGTTATGTATTTTAATTCTATATATGTCAAATCTCATTATTAATTTGTATGCAGTCAATATTCATTCAGATTTGCCGATGTTTCCCTTCTCTTTCTCTTCATTCTTTTCTTCATTTCTGAACTTTTACCTAGGATTATTTTTCTTCTACTTAAAGAATGCCCTTTAATATTCTCCTTTATTCAGATCTGCTGGTGTTATATTCTCTCCATTTTTCTTTTTGCCTAAAAAAAATTCCTGTCACCTTAATTGAATTGGACATTTAAATGAGCTGGGTTTTAGTCCTTGGGTTCTAGAGTTTTCTTTTTTGGTGACCCTGAATTCAAATCTTTGTCTAGCCCTGTGAATCCATTGAAAGTTCTACTTACCTTGAGTTTTAAAGTCATAAAGCCATTTTACTAACCACAGAAGATTTTGGTTCAATTTTTTAAAAACATTTAGATATGATTACCTGGAAATAAATTAGAAACTTTAAGAAGTTTAAAAGTGTTTTAAAAAGTAAAATATTAAGTTCACATATACAAACAAATTGTTAGACCACCACCCCCAGTATAATTGTTTAAGAAAATTTTGAAACTGTCAGAAATGTTCTAAAGTCCCGTAAAAAGGTTGCAAAACTACCCTTGATAATAGTAATTATCACTATTTGTAATATTCACAACTGTATTAATTTTGACTAACTTGTTCAACCTACTTTCTGAAAACTCAAAGTGTCTTCTTCCACAAATGTTCTATAAAAAGTTACATATAGAAAAGGATATTTTTTAAAAGGAATGTGCGTATATATATATATATATATATGTAAATGTATAACTGAATCACTTTGCTGTACAGCAGTAATTAACAACATTGTAAATCAACTATACTTCAATATAAATAAATAAATTTTGTTAAATAAAAAATAATTTACTAAATCAAAAGAAAAATAAAGGTACATATAAAGACTTGAAAAAGCTATTCTGACAGGGAAATTTGAGAAAGCCTTCACAAAAAAGCTACTGAACAGGGCTTCCCTGGTGGCGCAGTGGTTAAGCATCTGCCTGCCAAAGCAGGGGACACGGGTTCAAGCCTTGGTCCTGGAAGATCCCATATGCCACAGAACAACTAAGCCTGTGCACCACAACTACTGAGCCTGTGCTCTAGAGTCCGTGAGCCACAACTGTTGAGCCCACATGCCACAACTACTGAAACCCATGCACCCAGAGCCCGTGCTCCACAACAAGAGAAGCCACCACAGTGAGAAGCCTGCAAACTGCAACGAAGAGTAGCTCCCACTCGCCGCAACTAGAGAAAACCCGTGCACAGCAGCAAAGACCCAATGCAGCCAAAAATAAATAAAATAAAATAAATTTTTAAAAGATAGTGAACAAATAATGAGAACAAGTAGAAAGTATTATTTAGGGTGAATGTCTGCTTTGTGGAGTAAGTGGAAAGCAAGGAAGTAGTTACAATTTAGGAAGAATGCTCTCTAAAGAATTTGACTCTAAAACGAATGAGAAAAGGAGGAAATATTTGAGAAACTTGGATTGTAGAAGGGTTACCACAAATGAATTTTTTTTAATAGGATAAAAACTCCTTGAATTTACTGCTTTGGTTCTTTGCTCAATCAGCCTTCCTTAACGCAATCTCCTCCTTCCTAGAAAAAAGGGCAATTAGCAAGCAGTTAAAAACATATATTCATTATCAATTCAAGCTTCCCTTCTGTTTTCCTGTTTAGTGTGATGTCCTCAATCTAGGAGATAGGAGTCATTTGATTTCTCTCTTTTTTCCTCCCAGAGTTGGAGACTAAACCTACAACCAAGAATGCTATACCAACAGAGAATATTTCTGAAGAATGTTTATCACAGGAGACCATAGTAGAGAAACTCATAGAGAATGGTCTATGGGACACCAAAATGGGAGGATTATGGAAATGGAGTGACAGGATATTGAGATTGCAAGATAGTCAAGAAAGTCATTTGAGTCAAAGAATAGTTAAACACAAGAAAATTCCCACTCTTCAAAAAGGCTTTAGATTTGGATCTGTTCTTTTTCCAGAACCAGGAGTTATCACAGAAGAGCCCCACAGCAAATACCAAACACATGAGGAAAATTTTACAGAGAATTTAGATTTGATTACAGATACCCATCTGGGGAAGAAAATGTGCAAGGATACAGAAGGCAACAAAGTCATAAGCCCTGCTTCAGAACTCACTTTAGAGAAAAAAAACAATAATAAAGAAAAACCCTATAAATGTAGTACATGTGAAAAGGCCTTCCGTTATAGGTCATTACTCATTCAACATCAGAGAACTCACACTAAAGAAAAACCTTATGAATGTAGTGAATGTGGGAAAATGTTCAGCCAGCCTTCATATCTTAGTCAACATAAAAAAATTCACACTGGAGAAAAGCCCTATAAATGTAATGAATGTGGAAAGGCCTTCATTGCTTCTTCATCCCTCATGGTGCATCAGAGAATTCATACTAAGGAGAAACCTTATCAGTGCAATGTTTGTGGAAAATCTTTCAGCCAGTGTGCCCGCCTTAATCAACACCAGAGAATTCAAACTGGAGAGAAGCCCTATAAATGTAGTGAATGTGGGAAAGCTTTTGGTGATAAATCAAAACTTGCAAGACATCAGGAAACTCACAATGGAGAAAAACCCTACAAATGTAACGATTGTGGGAAAGCCTTTAGGAATAAGTCATATCTTAGTGTACATCAGAAGACCCATACTGAAGAGAAACCATATAAATGCATTGAGTGTGGGAAATCGTTCAAGAATACCACAATCTTTAATGTTCATCAGAGAATTCATACTGGAGAGAAACCCTTTAGATGTAATGAGTGTGGAAAAGCCTATAGAAGTAATTCAAGCCTTATTGTACATATAAGAACTCATACTGGGGAAAAACCCTATGAATGTAATGAATGTGGGAAAGCATTCAATCGTATAGCAAATTTCACGGAACATCAGAGGATTCATACAGGAGAAAAACCCTATAAATGTAATGAATGTGGGAAAGCATTCATCAATTATTCATGCCTTACTGTACACCACAGAATGCATACAGGAGAGAAACCTTATAAATGTAATGAATGTGGAAAGGCCTTCATGCGTTCTTCATCTCTAATTATACATCAGCGAATTCATACTGAGGAGAAACCTTATCTCTGTAATGAATGTGGGGAATCTTTCAGAATAAAATCACACTTAACTGTACATCAGAGGATTCATACTGGAGAGAAACCATATAAATGTACTGACTGTGAGAGGGCATTTACCAAGATGGTAAATCTCAAGGAGCACCAGAAAATTCATACTGGTGTGAAACCCTACAACTGCTATGATTGTGGAAAATCCTTCAGAACTAAGTCATACCTTATTGTACATCAAAGGACCCATACTGGAGAAAAACCATATAAGTGTAATGAATGTGAGAAAGCTTTCACTAATACATCACAGCTTACTGTGCATCAAAGAAGGCATACTGGAGAAAAACCCTATAAATGTAATGAGTGTGGGAAGGTTTTCACAAGTAACTCAGGCTTTAATACCCACCAAAGGACACATACCGGGGAGAAACCATTTAAATGTAATGACTGTGGCAAAGCATTTAGCCAGATGGTACACGTCACAGAACATCAGAAAATCCATAGTGGAGAGAAACCCTATAAATGTGATGTCTGTGGAAAAGCCTTCAGGAGAGGTTCATACCTTACAGTGCATTGGAGAACACATACTGGAGAAAAGCCCTATACATGTAAGGAATGTGGGAAAGGTTGTATTACTCTATCACAGCTAACTCTACATCAGAGAATTCATACTGGGGAGAGGCCCTATAGATGTGAAGAATGTGGAAAAGCCTTCAGAACGAACTCAGACTTCACTGTACATCTGAGGATGCACACTGGAGAAAAACCCTATAAATGTAGTGAGTGTGGAAAAGCCTTTAGGAGTAGCTCAAGCCTTACTGTACATCAAAGAATACATCAGAGAGAAGCTCAATTAATATAGAGGACAGAAAATTATCATCCAGATATGACAAGAATCTTATAAACTGTATATTTTATGAATGTGGGAAAATGTTCAGGAGCAATTTGCCAGAAAGTACACACTTCATAAATATAAGAATGTAGAAAAGCAATTGGTCATATTAAATCTTAGAAGTTATAAGAAAATTCATAATAAAAAGGGCAAATGAAAGCCTTCATCCAAATTTCATATTTTATTCATTTAACAAATTATCTTCGATGAATTGCCTATTTTTTTGCTGATTTTCTTATTGGTTTATATTTCTTATAAATCTGGAGGTGCCCTTAATATATTTGAGATATTAATCATTTGACATATGTGTTGCAAATGTTTTTCTTAACCTCGTATTTGTCTTTGTACTTTTTTATGTAGTAAAAGATTTTTAAGTCTTTAATTTTTCATAGTAAAATATTTACATCTTTTCCTTTTTATATTCTTTATTTACTCTTTTAGCAATCCCCAGGTTATATATAGTCTCCTAAATTTGTTTCTAATATTCTGATAATTTTATTTTTTACATTGAAGTTTTAATCCATCTGGACTAGATGGCTCTTCATAGAAGAACAACTCCAAATGCATTAACCTATGAAAATATTATGAACCTAAATAAACAATACTCAGGGAAACGCAAATTGAAACAATGAATGATATGTTACTTCCACTTCATGGAGTTGGCAAAAATTAAGAGATCTTTTGCTAGTGGAGTTTGGCAAACCATATACTCTTACCAAATGGTTATATCAACTTATATTTCCACCAGCAATCCAGCGGTATATATATTTTTTAATTCTTAAGTAAAATTTTAAAAGCACTTTGACCCAGCAGTCTCACTTTTGGGGAATCTGCCCCACAGAAATAATAGCATCAGTGCAAAAGCATATGTATAAATAAGGATGTTTATTAAAGTATTGTTTGTGGAGACAAAGAAGAAACCCAACTGGAGACAAAGTGAATGCCAATTAATAGGGGAATGGGTGAATAAATTGTGATATAGCCATACCATGGAAAAGTATGAGAGTAATTTTTAAAATGAGTTATAGCTACACTAGTTGACTTCAAGGTATTTCCACAAATTTTTGATAAGTAATTGCTTTATTACAGAGATGTATATATACAAGATTTCATTTTTGTTAAAGTAATGGTCACATGCATTTATGTATGCATATATGTGTGCATGTGATTAGATGAGCATGGAAACAAGTATGGAAGAATATACATCAGGCTGTTAATATTGGTTACCTTGAAGGGAGGGAGAAGAGGAGAAGCAGTGATATAAGTGGGGGGGGGGGAAACTAGGAAAATAGAAAAATATAAATGCAGTATGTATGGTATGAAACTATGTATTTGTGTGAACTTTTGATAGCCATGAATGAAGGGACAGTCTCCAAAAAGTTAATGACAGTTGTTTTAGATTTGTTGCAGAATCCAGTGTTTTTTGTTTGTTTTACCTCTCTCTGCTTTTCTGTATTTCTCAGTTTTTCTTTCCAATGAGCATGTAATATTTATATAAACATGAAAAACCTATTTTTCTTGTGAAGCTAATTTACTAGACACCTGTGATAGCCCAGGAATTACCCTAGGTGCTGGATATACCTTGGCAGGGCAGGAGTGGTCATGGATCTAAGAGCATGGAAACTGGTCTTGGTACCACCTAGATTCCCAAGAAGTTATCCAGCACTTCAGGACCCCCCCCCCCACCCTCTCAGTTTCATTTGGAGGAGGTAATAGAAATTTCAGGTAGATGAAAAACATATCCGAGAATATCTGGAAATTGTGTCCAGGTTATAGACCAGAAGACTTGCAAGCTTCAGAGACAAGTTCCACTTTCAACATGGCACCAAAGGAAAGATCACAATGGTGTAAAGGTCTGTGTACAGCCCCGCAGAACACTGTGTGATGGAGTATAGAGAGGGAAACAGCCAAGAACTCCAAAGTCCATGTATAAAAGCTTGGAAGTTCTGGAAATACTAAGAGAGTCCTGGAGTCAAAATGGGAACCCAGAGGCTGTGACCCTGTACTGGAAGGCCCTAAGAGACCGTGGACCTAACATCTGAAAAGGACAAGGCATGTAGAGCTACACTTGAGTGGAGACTGAAGGAAAGAATATCAAATACTCCTCCCACAATGCTAGGATAAGTCTTTAATATTGGGAAGGGGATATTGGGTGACTGATGTGAGCTGTCTCCCATTTTAAAGTGAATAATTTGACATTGTGGTTGAAATGACTATTTCTGATTGAATTACAATAGTGAAATTTATTAACTATTACCAGGAGATGTGTCTACTTTGGACAAAATGTACCACTTTCTGATTGGAAAGTTAAAGGGTCTGACCTTGAAATACTATCCTTGAGAAACTCTATTGTCAAACAGTCTACATGACTTGATGTCAACTTTTTTGGCTGCTCGTATCTACCTTCAAATCCTCACCACACATAAACCCCGTCTCCCTTCCCTGCCTTAGAAGGTAGAAGAGGAGTAAGGTCAGCAGGTTCAAGTGACATAAGAACTGAAAGGTGTCCATCAGGTTAGGGGATGGAGATGATACAGGGCACCTTTACTAGAGCAGTTTCCATGAACTGCTAAGGTGCCAAAGCCTGGTTCCAGTGTGTAGTGGTATCTCACTATAGGTTTAATTTCATTTCCTTACTCTCTACTGATGTTGAGTCCCCTTTTAGGTGTTTATTGGCTTTTGGAATATCCTCTTTTGAGAAGTGCCTGTTCAAGACTTTTGCCCATTTTTATTGATAACTCTGTTTATTTTTAGGATTCTTTATATATTCTGGATACAAGGTATTTTTTAGATATTTGTATTACAAATATCTACTCATCAGCATCTTGCCTTTTCACTCTCTAAATGTTGTCTTTTGATGGACAGAAGTCTTTAACTTTGATGAATAATTCAACAATCTTTTCTTTTATGATTACTGCTTTTTTGTGCCTAGTTTAAGAAATCTTTTCCTAACCCAAAGTCATAGGATATTTTCCTACATTTACTTCTGCATAGCTACTGTTTTACTTTTCAGTTTTAGGCTACAATCCGTCTGATATTTTTATATGGTGTGGAGTAGAGGTCAATTTAATATTTTCCATGCAAATACACAATTTATTCAACATCATTTGTTGAAAAGACCATCTTTTCCCCTCCCCCTTGGGTACCCTTGTGATAAGTCAGATAGATTATGTGAGGGGGTCTATTTCTAGATTATCTATTCTGACTCATTGTTCTGTTGAATACCAAATATTTTTAGTGAAAACAGGTTGATAGTAAATCTTGGCATCTGGTGGTATATGTCTTCTAATTTTGTTCTTCTTATTCAAAATTGTCACTGTAATTCTGTGTCCTTGGCATTTTCATATGCATTTTAGAATGATTATTTTTTCAGTTACTCCACCATAAAAAGTAGGGATTTCAATGGATATTACATCACATATATAGATTAATTTTGGAAGAATGGGTACCTTAGCAATATTGAGACATCCAATCTATGAGCAGGCCATACCTTTTCATTTATACACATCTTTTAATTTTAGTAATTTTTGTGTTTTTTCAATAAAATTTTGAATATTTTGTAAGGTTATTATATATTTGATGTTTTGGTGATTCTGTAAAGGCTATTATCTTAATTTCATTTTCTGACTTTTGCTAATATATATAATACATAACTATATATAATATATTAAATATATAATATGTAATAAGTAATGATATATGTAATAGATTTTTTTAAACTGACCTTATATCCAGTGACCTTCCTAAAATTCACTTGTTAATTATAATAGTTTGTTCATTCTTTCGGACTTTCTACGTACACAATATGTCACCTGTGATAAAGTAAAATCTTTCTTACCTCACCCTTTCCAATATTTATGCCATTTTTGTCTTGCTTTATTGCACTGGCTAGGACCTTCAAAAGTAAAGATTGTAGGCATCCTTGCCTTCTTCCCAGAACTTAAAGGAAAATCCTAAACATTCCATTAGAAATGATATGAGGTATAAATTTGTAGATAATCTCTATCAGATTAAGGAAATTCTCCTCAAATCCTAGTTTGCTGAGATTTCTTATCATGGACAGGTATTGAATTTCATCAGATATGTAGTTTGTAGCTATTGAGATGACCGTATGGTTTTTCTCATCCTGTTAATGTGGTTGAATTATGCAGATTGATTTTTTTATTTTAAAAATTGTGGTAAAATACACATAACATATAATTTAGCATCTGAACCTTTTTTTTTTTTGCGGTACGCGGGCCTCTCACTGTTGTGGCCTCTCCCGTTGCGGAGCACAGGCTCCAGACGCGCAGGCTCAGTGGCCATGGCTCACGGGCCCAGCTAATCTGCGGCATGTGGGATCTTCCCGGACCGGGGCACGAACCCGTGTCCCCTGCATCGGCAGGCGGACTCTCATCCACTGCGCCACCAGGGAAGCCCCATCTGAACCATTTTTAAGTGTACAATTCAGTGATATTAAGAACATTCATGTTGTTGTAGCCATCACCACCATTCAAAACTCTTCATTTTTCTAAGCTGAAACTCAATATTCATTAAACAATAACTCCACATTACCCGCTTCTCTTAGTCCCTGGAGACTATCATTCTACTTTCTGTCTTCAGTCTGTCTCTGTGAATTTGACCACTTTAGGTACCTTATGTAAATATTTATTCTTTTGTGACTAACTTATTTCACTTAGCAAAATGTTTTCAAAATTCATCTGTATGGATTGATTTCTGAATGTTAAGGCAACCTTGCATGCCTGGAATAGATTCTATTTGGTCATTATATATTACCTTTTAAAAATATTGTTCAATTAGAGTTTCAAAATTTTATATCAGATTTTATGTCTATGTCCATATTGTCTTGTATGTTTCCTTTTTTTTAGTAGCCTTGTCAGGATTTAGTGTGTGGGATAATGCTGGGCTTGTAAAATGAATTGGTAATTACTTTTTCCCCCCTTTGGAAGAGTTTGTTGTTATTTCAGTTGGTATTATTTTTTTCCATAAATCTTTTCTGTAAAAATGAACAGTAAAGCCCAATGAGCCTGGAATTTTCTTTGTAGGAAAGTTTTAAATTATAGATTCAGTTACTTTGATAGGCATAAGACTATTGAGATATTCTATCTCGTGTCAATTTGGCTAAGTTTTATTTCTAATTTGTCTATATCATTTCATTAAAATATCTAATTATTGGCTTTAAGTAATTGATAATGCCTGCTTGTTATATTTTTAATCTTTGTAGGATCTAAAGTGATGTTCCCTTTTCAGTCTTGGTATTGGTAATTTGTGTACTCTCTTTTTGTTTTCTGTGTTAGGCTCTGTAGGGATTTAACACTTTATTAATCTTTTCAAAAGCCACCTCTTAACTAATATACAGCTAATTTCTTTTTCATTGACTCATGCTCTTTTATTTTCTTCTATCTACTTTATTTGAATTTGATTCATTGTTCTTTTTCTAGCTTCTTGAAATGAAATCTTAGATAATTGATGTTCAACCTTTCTTTTTTGCAAATATTTAAGTCTAAATTTTTCTATAAGTTCCTATTTAGCTTCATCAAGTAGAGGTTTTTTTAATCAACTTTATTGGGACATAATTTACACATAATAAGTTGTACCAGATTTAACTTTATATTTTGATGAGTTTTGGCAAATTTACACACCTGTATAACCATCACCAAAATCAAGCTATAGAACATTTTTCATCACCCCAAAATTGTCCCCACCTCTGATTCCAAGAAACCGTTAATCTGCTTTCTATTGCTATATATTAGAATTGTCTTTTCTAGAGTTTCATGTAAATGGAATCATGTAGTATATACTGTTTTCTTTCTACCTTCTTCACTCATGAATTTGGAGGTTCATTCATGTTATGTGGTTGGTACTTCATTCCCATAGTGTTAATATACTACAGTTCATTCAGCCATTGATGGATATTTGTATTGTTTCCACTTTAGAGCTATTATGAATAAACCAGCTGTGAACATTCACGTATAAGCTCTGTGTAGACATATTTTCACTTCTATTATATAAATACCTAGGTTCGGAGTTGCTGGGTTATATGGCAAATGTATGTAATATTTTATAAGAAACTGCCAAGTTGTCTTCCAAAGTACCATTTTGCAACCCACCAACAATGTATGAGTGCTCTAGTTACTCCTAGCCTTGCCAACTCATGGTATTGTCAGTCTTTAATTTTTTTCAATTTTATTAAAGTATAGTTGATTTACAATATTGTATTCGTTTCAGGTATATAAGTCAGTGTTTAATTTTAGCTTTTCTAATGTGTGTACTAGTACTTCATGGTGGTTTTAGTTTGCATTTCTCTGATGATTAATGGTGAACATTTTTTATGTGTTTAATGGCTATTTATAGCTCTCCTTTGTGAAGTATCTGTTTAAGTTTTTTGCCCATTTAAATTAGATGATGATAATGATTATATAGTCTAGATACAAGTCCTTTGTCAGATATGTGTTGTAAATATTTTCTCCCAGAATATGGCTTCCCTTTTAACTTTTCTTAGTGGTGTCTTT